TATCAGATGTTCAGTGTGCTGGCCACCTACGATGACATTTGAGTGTCATCTTGTATCCTTTGCATTCAGTTGTCCACTAGTTTTATTAAGTTGTTGCCTGTTTGTTCAAGTTCCCGCGATGTAATGTGGCCCGTGGCCAGAACTATGTTTCCCGAACTCCTAATAAGCTATTTGCTGTGATGTATATGTGTTTTGTGTACTAAACTCCTAATAAGCTGTTTGTTGTGTTGTATATGGTTTTGTCATTTCAAGTGTTAAGTACCTTCCTTTGGCTGAGTAGGCTAACAATGCTTTTTTTTGCAAGGGTTGCTGAGGTAACCACATCTGGACGATTAACCCCGGAAGGCTATGGAAGACGTGAGGTAGCCAAGAGGTTAGTATGAGCTACCTGCTTTGATATTTGGTGATGGCGTAAGACCTAACTGCTATGCCATGTTCTCTGTATAATTTTTTAATCTGCATGTTCTAAGGGCATGCTTACCTGCTGATATTTTTGTTTTCTGGTGATGTCATTTTGCCACAAACACTGACTTGAAGTAGCTGCAATCATGTTATATATTTTAGCGCATATTTAACTGATTTGAAACTAGATAACTAATGTGTTGTGAGTTTCGACGTGATGTAGTTTATGCTTCCTTATTCTTGGACCTTTCAACTTCTATCGAAGTCAAGTAGTCATAAATTATCTCCGATTTTGAAGGTTTGTATTAAGCTATTTGCAGTTGTAATGCCTCCGTTTCCAAATTAATTGGTGTTCTAGGTTGATCTAGTTGAGTACATGTTTCTTAAATTGTTGGGCTGACCTTTAGATAGGTTTAGGTGGCATATGAACAAGTTATTTGAAACTGATGAACTGTTGTACATTTTAGAGGCTACATGAAGTTAACTTGCTGCATATTGTCTCATGCAGGCTGTTTCGAGCATGGAAAGAAGTGATGAAGAGAGTGAAAATTCAAGTGAGAACAGTTTCAACGAAATTATAACTGCAACTATGGCGGGAGGATATGCAATGATGTCCATGATGATGGTATCGCCACAAGTGAACTATGTCTACCATCAGCCGGACATCACTGGTTGACAATGGGTAGATAACCTCTTGGCTAATCGTCGTAGATGCTTTGTGAACTTTCATAAGCAGCCTGAAAATTTCCAAAGGTTGCATGCCATATTATCTGGAGGGTACGGTCTAGCATCCACTAGGGAAGTTGAATCTATTAAAGCTTTAGGCATGTTTCTTTGGGCAGCGCAATCTCAGAGGCAAATGCATGAGAGATTTATGAGGGGATTAGGCACCTGTAGCAAGATATTTGCCCGAGTTCTTAATGCCTTGGTTCACTTTGCAAATGACGTGATTAGGCCTAAGGACTACACCTATTCTGTACTGCCACAAGAGTTGTTAGAGTACACCCCTTTTTTTATGGCTGCATAGGAGCCATTGATGGAACTCACATAGATGTGGTAGTTGATGAAGCAGTACGTGAGGACTTCGTTAATAGGAAAGGGAGGACAACCCAAAATATGATTGTTGTTTGTGACTTCAACATGCGGTTCACTATATTGGGGCCGGGATAGAGGGTTCAACGCATGGCATGCACGTGATCAAGATAGCACGGGGCGGATCCCACTTACCCACACCCACCATCAGGTTTGTCTACCTAAGTTGACTTCCTTGTTGTATGGATGCAGTTGGTGACTAGTGTTGCATGCTAAGTGTTTGTGACCTTTTTGTGGTGCTATGTTCGTGTACAGGACGGTATTATTTGGTGGACTCCGGCTACACACTTCGCCCAGGATATCTGGCGCCGTATCAAAATAAGAGGTACTGGGTGAAGGAGTTCAAGGATAGGGGCCCTCAAGACGCGTAGGAGGTGTTCAACTGCCACCATTCGAAGCCGCGTATTGTAATAGAAAGGACATTTGGGACCGCGAAAGCTAAGTGGCGAATGTTGAAAGTCGTACCTCACTATTAGGGAACGAAGCAATCATAGATAATTATGGCTTTGTGGGCACTGCACAACTACGTGCATGATCTGGAGGGCTAGAAGCAACCAGGGAGGCACATGCAAGCACAAGGACTTGGCGAGTTGCATCAAGTGGTAGCTATGGCGTTAAGTGACCCTAATGATATGGAACAAGTCCGAGACTGGATTACTTACGGACTTGGACTCCTTGGGATGACAACAACGTATGTGAATATGTTAAAGTTTTGTTAGCAAAGTTCTGCTGTTATGAATCTGTTGGTTAGTGCCTAAGTGGGACCGAAAAGACTTTTTTGAACATGCAGGTGAGTGTGAACTAGAGGAGACTGGGAGCAAGGTGAGCAGCCGATAGCATGAAGAAGAGGCTTCAAGTTGGTACGTGCATTTTGACATTTGGGCTTCGTCTTCCTACTATCTGAAGTACCTAAAAGGTTACAAGTTTTGTATTGTTGTTCCACCTATGCACCCAATTAGATGTAGAGGACTGTTGTGATTTGCAAACAATTGTTTATGACCTGATGTAACAGGCAATTGCGTAGGAGAAGTCTGATGTTGTGACACCTCTGCTACTAGTTAAGTACTACAATTTATGTAAATGTGCCCACCACTAATTCGGTGTCAAGGATGTAAGGGTTGGTTGTTTTGGATGCCTAATCCTGGTATTGTAGTGACCTGGGTGTAATCAAATGGTGCCATTGGACAAGTATTTGAATGATGTAAGGGCTGTCATGGTTGTATTACTGGTGTTCTACTTGTATCTGTTGCGTAGTGTTGTTTGAATTTGAATTTAAACTGCATTAAATGAAGGCTGTGGCGTCATTTTTTGAAATCAAATGGCTGCTCGTGCTACATCGGCTAATGCTGGGCACATCTGCTGGTTTTGGCTGATGCTGCTCACTGTACCAGTTTCAGCTTCAGTCCAAACCAGCCGGCAAAGTTACCAGCCAAATGGAGTGTGAGAAACACGTAGTCCTGGTAAATTTCACCGGTCCTTGTCAGCATCGTGATGCCTCCGACTCCGATTGACCAGTCGCATCTTTTCTCAGACATGGACCGTGTCCACCCGACATGCCCTCCACCGAATCACAACCGTCGTTCTCAACAAGACAACAACGAACGGCCCTGATCACTCGAGGCCTTCCACCTCCGCCAGCTCAACGCCTCAGCCACGCCACCCGTGCATCAGATCGGGCGTATCCACCGTCACCACCTTGCCGCAAAACCCTCTCTCTCTCTGCCCGCCCGGCTGCCACTGTTGTATATGTACCTCCATCTCATCAGGCATCAGCTTGGCCTCCAAGAAGCCGGGAGGAAGGGGCGACCAGCGTCGCGACCGCCGCGCCATTAACCCTAGCCGCCCGCTCCGATCGCCACCGCTGGTAAGCCGATCGCCCCGCGTCGAGTCGACCCGCTTTGATTATTCGATCCGTGTTCCCGCCGCCATTCCTGGGGTTTTGGGTGCTGGGTGCTTTTGGTTTTTATTCGTTTTGATGCTATTGTTGTGCGGTGCAGGGGTTTTCGATATATGCTTGCGAGTTACGACGAAGAGAGCGGAGGGTATATCTGGGCATCGGGCCAGCCCGGCCCGGCACGGCACGGTCACGGGGCGGCACGGCACGATGGCTATCGGGCCAAGGAGGCACGCCGTGCCTCATCGGCTCATGGGCCTGGCCTTCGCCCGAGCACGGGCCTCAGGCCATTTTCGTGCCGTCGCGGCCCGTGAGGCACGGCAAAAATAGCAGGCCATGCCAGCCCACAGCCCGTTAAATCTAAAACACCTCCAAATAAACATCTCAATCCATTTTTTTCAACCATGAACACATAAGTATGAATTTTGACAAACACAATTTTTTCACACTTAGCCATTTAGGACACTTAGGCAATAAACAGCAGCAACAGCAAGATCGCCGGCTGTGTCCCGCGGGTGGCGTCATCAAACACCGCAAAGGGGTCACGGCCGTCGTCGTCGTGCTCCGGGGACAGCCCAGCCGCGACCAAGTCATCGTCGCCAGTCACAGGGAACATGGCATCGTCGCCCTGCGGGTCACACGCCATGGGGCCCTCGGCCGCGGACGGCTGAACTCCAAAGACCGTTCCTCAATGGTGCGCTGCTACTGGCTTACACGCGGTGCCATTGCCGTCGTCCGCCTCTCGCCAAGGCTAGTTGACGACGAGGCATCGGCAGCAGACCGCAAAGAAAAAGAACACGAAAAGAAGAAAAGGATGAGAAAATGATCCCAAAAAATGAATCAAAACAACGAAAAACGATAGATCTAGGGACTAGGGTTAGGGTTACTGAATGGGGATGGACTTGCTCATAAGCTCGGAGCCCGCGTCGGAGAAGACGAGGGCCACACAAGGGCAAGACGGGATTAAGAAGGGCGGCGTCGGCGACGGCGGAAGAGAGACGGTGAGGCGGACTCACATGTTCATCGACAAACAGAGGAGAAGGAGTAAAAGGAAGACGGAGAGGGACCGAGGGAGCGGGGAACTCGTGGAGAGGTGATGGAGCGGCGGCGATATCACGGATCAAGGACGACGGCAGTCGCCCGGCGGCGAAGATGGATCGACGAGAGGAGGCGAGTGGCGGCGAGCGCGAGAGCGATGAGCGGCCGAGCGGGTGTCGAGTCTGCGGCGGTTGGGAGGGAATGGGGTTAGGGTTAGGGTGGGGTGGGGGCCGTCGCGGTTTATATATGGGAGGAGGGGAGTTCTTGGGCGGCGGCCACCCGCTGCTGCTTGCCGTTGGCCGCTCACGGCGCTGCCGTTATTTTGCGGGCTGTGCCGTGCCGCACTGTGGGCCTAGGGTGCGCCCAACACGCCTGCACCCGTCGTGCCGTGCCAGCCCGGGCCCATTGACCTTCGGGCCGGGCCGGGCTAGGGCCGGGCCTAAATAGCGGGCTCCGTGCCGGGCTCACGGGCTCGGGCTTTGTGCCCAGATATAGCGGAGGGAGCTGAGGACGGCGGTGACGCTGTCGTGAAGAAGGCTCGGGGTGGGGGGAATCGGCGGCGGAGGCGGAAGAGATGGTGGCCGGGGCGGATGTGGGCGGCGGCGGGAGCAGCAATGGGAGCGGGGTGGTGGAGATCGACGAGGACCTGCACAGCAGGCAGCTCGCTGTGTACGGAAGGGAGACGATGCGGCAGCTCTTTGCCTCCAACGTCCTCATCTCCGGCCTTAACGGGCTAGGGGCCGAGATCGGTGCGTGCCCCTTTTTATTTTTGTTTGGTCGTACGTTTAATGTTTTCCTGTGTATCCTTATGGTTCGGCAATACAATAGTCAATATACAATAGTATGTATACATGCTGAATTGCAAAATACAGCTGGGACTGTTGCATGTAATGGATATATGGGCAGCAACTGGGCAAGCAAAAAGGCTGACAGCCTTAGACATTTATGCTCCAATGTTTAATCTGTTAAAGTTTCTGTTGAACTGAGAAATGCAAATGGTGCGTTCATTTTTCTGATTTTTATGTACATATTTTGTTTACTATTCTGTTTGATGGCCGTCCTCATTATAAGACATATGGTGTAGCAGTATAACTGCGCAAGTCACTGCCTCTCACTTGTTTACCTGTATAGTCATATAATTCGGATCAACACTCAACACTCAACACGATGAGCAAATTGTATCCTCCCCCCAAAACAAAAACCTTCTTGTCAGCACAGGAACATAATGTTTTTTTTTCTTTTCTCTTGAGCCAGCCAGTAATTAATCATTTTTGTTAGATAACTATCATTGTATTTCCCATGTGCATTTGTTCATATTCTAATGCTAGAATGTCTTATAAGCATTATCTTGGTGAGGTCTTTGGAACTAATATTTCCTCTCAACAGCAAAGAATCTTGCCCTGGCTGGTGTTAAATCTGTCACCCTACATGATATCGGAAATGTGGAAATGTGGGACCTATCAAGCAATTTCTTTCTATCTGAGGATGACATCGGGAAGAACAGGGCTGTTGCTTGTGTTGCAAAGCTTCAAGAACTTAACAATGCTGTTCTCATACATACTCTAACATAAGAATTGACCACTGAGCACCTTTCAAAGTTCCAGGTCTGTTGGTTCTCCGCTGTGCTAAAATTTGCTACTTCTCATTGTTGTTTGCATTTAGGATCTGTTTTCAAGTGTATGGGATGACGTGTTGTATAACTATGTTCAGCTTAATTCTTTGTTGTTGATAATAGCAAGCAAATCCATCTTGCCCTTCTATATGACCTTGTATTTTTCTTCTCCTGCTCTCCTTTTTTATTTTAGTGGCTGAGCATATGATTGTGAGCAATATGTTCTCTCATAAACTCATATGAGCACTGTCTAGTGCCAAATGCTTTTCTTTTGTAGGGCCTAGTTGAATTTGTTTTCTTGAATTAAAAAAAAGAAATATGGAATTAAATTGAATGTAGTGCAAATCTGTGTGTATCACTGTATCTCTTTGCCAATTGCAGTATAGGGTTTGCATATGCCTCAGATATTATTTCATGGTATCATCTACATCCATGATCTACCTTTTCCAACCTACTTATGTGAAAAGGGTGGTGGTTCCTTCTACTGCAGAACCCCTTAACTTTCTATATTGGTATCTTGCTCTGTGGGCCTGTGTCTGGTCATTATCTGCAGAATAGCTGATAGTATTGATAACATTCCATATTCAGCCAACTTAGAACTCCTCAAGTGACCATGGTTAAACTGCTGATTAGTAACATCATATGATTGAAGCCTATTGGCTTAGATAAGTGTAAAGCAAATGATAATGTTATGCTTGGTAGCATCACTGAATATGCTGCTACAGTATCCAGTTTTTATTTATTTATTTATTTATCTGTATCATAAATCATCAACTTCGTAAACTCACCAGCTATTATATAGTGATCATACTTATAGTTGTCTGATTTTTCAGGTGGTTGTTTTCACTGACATTAGTTTGGACAAGGCGTTTGAGTACGATGATTATTGTCGTAACCACCAGCCTCCAATTTCCTTTATCAAGACAGAAGTCCGTGGTCTTTTTGGTAGTGTGTTTTGTGATTTTGGGCCTGAATTCACTGTTCTTGATGTCGATGGTGAAGATCCACGTGCTGGCATAATTGCATCCATCACCATCAGCACTGACAGTGACAATCATACGATAGTGTCCTGTGTTGATGATGAGCGCCTTGATTTTAAGGATGGTGATCTTCTTGTTTTCTCAGAGGTCCAGGGTATGACAGAACTCAATGATGGCAAGCCAAGGACAGTAATGTGCGCAGGACCATTTTCCTTTTGCATTGAGGATACAAGTAACTTTGGCACTTATACAAAAGGTGGAATTGTTACACAGGTGAAAGAACGGAAGATCTTAAAGTTTAAGAGTTTGAGAGATTCGATTAGAGAACCTGGGGATTTCCCTCTGAGTGATTTTTCAAAGTTTACCCGCCCTCCTCTGCTTCATTTTGCATTTATAGCTTTAGATAAATTTAGGAAAGAGTTTGGACGCTTCCCTGGTGTTGCTTGTGGTCTGGATGCCCAAAGGTTTGTGGAGTTCACTACTTCTATCAATGAAGCCACAATTGATTACAAGATAGAAGGCGAGCTTGATGAGAATTTGTTGCGGCTTTTTGCGAGTGGTTCTAAAGCTGTCCTGAACCCAATGGCTACTATGTTTGGTGGAATTGTCGGTCAAGAAGTTGTGAAGGCATGTTCTGGGAAGTTTCATCCTCTGTGCCAGGTAATTGTCATGACTTACATGATATTTTATGGTTGTCTAGTACAGTATGTTGTTACTATCTGATAGTTTGTCTTGATCAGTTCTTCTACTTCGATTCGGTCGAATCTCTGCCAACTCACCAATTGTACCCTAAAGACTTGAAGCCATTGAGTAGTCGCTATGATGCTCAGATTTCTGTTTTTGGCTCTAAGCTTCAGAAAAAACTGCGGGATGCCAATGTCTTTGTTGTGGGATCTGGCGCTCTTGGATGTGAATTCTTAAAGAACCTAGCTTTAATGGGAGTGTCTTGCAGCCATAGAGGGAAAATTACTATAACAGATGATGATGTCATTGAGAAAAGTAACTTGAGCCGCCAATTTCTGTTCCGTGATTGGAATATTGGACAGCCTAAATCTACAGTAGCTGCCACAGCTGCTAGTGCTATCAATTCCTGCCTGCACATTGATGCTCTCCAGAACCGTGCCTGTCTAGAGACCGAGCATGTGTTCCATGATGCATTCTGGGAGGGCCTTGATGTTGTCATTAATGCACTCGATAATGTTAATGCTAGGATGTACATGGACATGAGATGTTTGTACTTCCAGAAACCACTCCTGGAATCTGGAACACTGGGTACAAAATGTAACACGCAAGTGGTAATTCCTCACCTTACTGAAAATTATGGGGCTTCACGAGACCCTCCTGAGAAGCAGGCACCCATGTGCACAGTCCATTCATTTCCACACAATATTGACCATTGTCTAACATGGGCTCGCTCAGAGTTTGAGGGTTTGCTCGAGAAAACTCCAAAGGAAGTCAACTCTTTTCTGTCTAATCCTGCTCAATATGTTGCCTCCATGAAAAAGGCAGGTGATGCTCAGGCCAGGGAGTTGCTTGATCGCGTATTTGAATGCCTTGAGAAGGAGTACTGTGAAACATTTAACGATTGCATAACCTGGGCAAGACTGAAGTATGATTTATCTCCCCATTTTGTTCATTCTTTAGCAACATTTATTTGTTTATTTTGGTCTGCATTGAATAATCTTTTCTATCTTAGAGCTTGGCTGATTTTACTGAGTATCATTGAAGAAAATAGGACTAGGGATGGTACTCATTTTAGATGCTGTCTAATTACCCCCCTCCTTTTGTCCCCAGATTTGAAGGTTACTTCTCCAATCGTGTGAAGCAGCTAACATTCACGTTTCCTGAAGATGCTGCCACTAGCATGGGAGCCACTTTCTGGTCTGCCCCAAAGCGTTTCCCTCGCCCACTGGAATTTTCAGCTGCTGATTCATCACACATCCATTTTATAATGTCTGCTTCCATATTGAGGGCAGTGTCTTTTGGAATCTCTATACCTGATTGGGCAAAGGACACTGATAATCTGACTGATGCAGTCAGTAAAGTTGCAGTACCTGAATTTAAGCCAAAGAGCAGGGTGAAGGTTGAGACAGATGAGAAGACCAAAAACATCTCCAGTGCCTCAGTTGACGATGCTGCTGTTATCGAAGATCTTTTAAGCAAGCTGGAAGCATGTGCCAAGAAACTACCTCCGAGATTCCAAATGAAACCTATTCAGTTTGAGAAGGTTAGCCTTATTTAAATATTCTTTCTGTTATTTTAAGGCTAAGACATTGTGTTTTAAAATTTTCCCTGCTGTTGTTTTTACTCTTTTGAAAATATTTTGAATCTAGGAGAACTTCACATTCTTTTAAATACAAATCAATGGATATGTCCTGGCCTGTTAAGCATAAAGATTAACATAGGTTCTGTTGTTCTGTCATGTTCCTTCATGCTTTAGACTGGATTACAGAAGTTAACCAGCCTGTTCGTTTGGCTGGGCTGGATCGTTGCTGGATCGTGAAGAAGTACTGCTGGCTGGTTTGGTGTGAGAGAAAAATACTGTTCCGGCTTGAAATTTACGATCGTTTACGAGGCAATAAGCCCAGCCGATCAGGCTTGCACCTCTGACTCCTTGCTAGTAGTAATCCATTATTTACATTACACGGCTCCAGCGAGATAAAAGTCAGTTAGCTCTTTTCACTTGATCTCTCATGTTTGTTTTCTGTCTAATTTGTGTAATGCTTCTGTTTCATTATCCAGCTGAGAAAAAAAAATTACCTATTGTGGTTTCTGTTAACATGAAATATTGAAGAGGACTGCTATAGTAATATATGAGCATTTTTGTTTAAATGTGAACTGTTGAACATTCTGTATAAAAATAAAATTAATAGAAACTTTAACAGTCGATCCTTTTTGTTATCTTAATTAACACCACTCTCTATACAGGATGATGATACAAACTTCCACATGGACTTAATTTCTGGTCATGCAAATATGCGTGCCAGGAACTATGGCATCCCAGTGGTTGACAAGCTGAAGGCAAAAATTATCGCAGGAAGGATCATCCCAGCCATTGCAACTTCAACTGCCATGGCCCATGGCCACAGGACTTGTGTGCCTTGAGCTTTACAAGGTTCTGGCCAGAGGGCACCCAATTGAAGACTACCACAATACATTTGCTAACCTGGCCCTACCTATGCTCACCGTATCTGAACCTGTTCCCCCCACTGTGATCAAGCATTGAGATATGAGGTGGACCGTATGGGATCGGTGGTCTATCAAGGGAGACATCACAGTTGCAGAGCTCCTGAAGTGGTTAAGCGACAAGGGCCTGAGTGCATACAGTGTCTCCTGCGGCACATCGTTGCTCTACAACACAATGTTCCCAAGGCACAAGGATCGATTGAGCAGGAAGATCGCAGATGTTGCCAAGGAGGTGGCAAAGGTGGACATTCCAGAATACAGGAAGCATCTGGATGTCGTCGTTGCTTGTGAGGATGACAACGGGAACGATGTTGACATCCCTCTTATCTCCATTTACTTCCGGTAGGTTGCACTGTGAAAAGAGATGATGAATGGGAGGAAAAAGTCCCCGTGAAAAAGAGATTTGAGTAGATTGATAAGTTCTGTTAATATTCACTCTTGTTATTAAAAATCGGTAGCAAAGTGACCACAGCTGGAGTTGCTTGTAGTGCATCTCCTATTCTCCTTACGGTTCTGTACGGGTGCTTGGGTCCCTGCTGTTGCATGCCAAATATTTGCAGGTGTGCAATGTGATCTGGATATTTTGATTAATGAATGCTTCATAGCTTCAGAGTTCTATTCACGTTGCACCTCACTGCAATTTTTTTCTTCTTTGAACACACCGACAGGAGCTCTGTTTTTTAATTAAGTGGAAAGAGTTGATCCAGTTTATAAGAAAAACCAGGTCTGAAAGCATTACACTTGCATGGTTAATTAGAGGAAAACCAGCAGAAAACCCTAACATCGACAGCATAGCCAAAATGAAACCCAAAACGACACAGCCTGCCGCAAGTCATCGTTGCACCTCACTGCAATCGTCAATCTCAGACAGTAATTTCAGCTTTTGTGAATCGTTAACATGCCATATAGGAGTATATGACACTGATACACACGTCAATTCCAATCCTTTCCTTTTCAGCGTGCCTTGCTGGCAACACAGTTTAATTCTCTGAATGAGTAGGGAACCAGAGCGCTTTTGATACAACGCTTGTCACCGTTGAGACTCCTTGAGTGTCTTGGTGAGTGCAGGCCAGCAGGTGCGTCGGCGCGCAGCGGTGAAGTAAACTGTAAGCTGCACGGTGCCCGTGTTCACTGGGACTCAGTTCAGCCCATTCCACGCGTTTCCCGCATAGGAGAGGGCTGGGGGCTGGGCAGTGGCGACGGAGGTGTCCGTGTCCCGTGGCCGGCGCGTGGGCCGGCAGGGTCACCCCAGCGTCATCTGATTGCCTCCGCCCTCCGGCACATGCCTCTGTCTCAGTGATCGTAGACCCGCCACCGGGCACCGGCAGCACGGCAATATCTTAACCCCCGGAAAGTCGTTGCCACACGTATCCGATCGTGATCGTAGATACGTGTGGTGGACAAATAAACAAATCGGGCGGCGATGTCTTGGGGACTCAGCGAGCCGCGAGCGTTCGTCACCGCCAAGGCAGGCAGCAACATGCACCTCACGACTTCCTGCGCGCCGCAGCTCGGCAGCTGCAGAGACTGCAGTGTGGAGGGTCTCAGATTCGCCTGCGCGTTTACTCACTCGTCATAGGCCGTGCCGTACACCGGGTTATTCGTGATGGAATGAGACAGCAGGCAGGCAATCAGGCTGGCTTAGCTTAGATGCCTACCTAACCTGACAAGAATATCTATCAGTTCTCCTAATATTAATAATGGAACGAAACATGCAAACAGCCCCCAGTCTGTGCAGATGGCAGGCGCTAATCATCCGAGACAACTGAACTCCCAGGAAGATGCAGGAGCACTGCTACTGCTCGTCATGATCAAGGAGCAGCACTGCAGAAGCCACCGACTGGCCGAGGCCAACCAGATGAGACGAGGCAGGCCTGTCCGAGTGTCCCTGTCGCACGGCACGGTTGCGCGTCCCAGTCGCCACACCCTCCACCGTCACTTGCTGTCGCCGCACGGCCGCGCGCCCCCACACCTGGATTCATCTCTGGTGAAAGGCGACGCCCAGCGGCGGAACCGAACGACCCGGCACCTCGCCACCTTCACTGCACGGCCGCATGGGAATCAGGTCGCCGCTGGACACAACGGTTCCTGTAAAATGTAAATCCTGCTGCGCTGCGTCCAAGTAGACGTTTGTATTGTATCCTAGATAGATCATTTTTTTTCGCGACCGTGCCACATCCTAGATAGATCATAGATCGCTTGGATCGCCCAAGGCAGGCAGGCATTCGTGATCGGCGGCAACGGTCGAGAAGAACGTGAACCTCCGATTCACTTGGGGATCACGAACGTGGCGCCCTTTTGTTTGGTTCAGCTTGAACCGACCCCTATCTCTCTGCCCGTCTGAGATTACCGTTGACTGCGAATTGGTGAGCGCCCAAGCCCAAGCCTACTAGTGTTCGCTCCCTTGTCGTGTCACGTGGACGGTGGATCCTCGGTTGATTGTGGCATGTTTCCGTCGAATTTGGCGCTGCTGCTGGGGCGGTTTCCCGGTCGCCGTCAACTGGGTGAGGCGTCCCCCTCGTCTGCGATCAGTGGTGGGGGGACTTGGGGGTTATGGCGATTGCGGCATCCCGTCCCGGGCGTTGCTTGCTTCACGTGATGCCTCCATTCTCGACAGGCACGTCCACATCCACGCAGATGCGTCTTGTAGACCTCGGAACTCAGCAAGGGTGCACAGAAGATAGATTTGCCAAGTGGAACCCTAGCGCCTGGACGTCTGATCCACGGCTGCGCCCCAGCAGCAGCGACAGCCACTGGCCGCGCCATGTAACACCCTAATCTACTTTTGTAATATCTAAATAAAACATTTACAACATACGTCTAAAACAGATGAAACATTTGGAGCATACAGTTGAAACATCATTGTAACAAGTGCAACATCCCGATCTTTTGAAACCTCCAGATGCAACACTTGCAACATACACAAATAAGACATATGAAACACTTAGAGACATGCGTCTGAAACACTTGCAACATACGTGTAAAAAAACAGATGAAATATTGGGGATAGATGCTTACAACATACGTGTACAACCATTACAACATCTCGATCTACTTTTACCACATTCGCATGAAACAATTTTAACATACATCTGAAACAACTGAAACATATGCTTGCAACATGTCTGAAAAAACGTCCACAAACACTTGAAACACAGCATCACCGCATGGCCATGACCTACCTAGTGGGCAACTGCGGTGGCGCAGACTCGCTGGATGGCGCGCGCCCGCACACCTCCTCCATGCCCGCCGTTGGCCGAGGGAGAGGAGACGTTGTCGGATCTAGGGAGGGCACCGCCAGCCTAGGTAGGGAGGGTCAATAGCTTGCTTGAGCTGCCGCCTGCGCGCCAACGGCTTCTTGAGCCCGCCAGCTAGATCCAGTGGGATGTGGGGGAGGGTCGCGGCCGCCATGGAGTGGGAGGAGGAGACGCCATGGAGGCCGCCGGACACGAGGGAAGACACACGCCCCGCTGGATCCATGGAGAGGAGGGGAGGCTATGACACAGTGGAGGGGACAATGGCGCTTGCAGCGGCGATTTTTTTTTTTGTGAAGAATGGAGACAGCAAGGTCCATTATAGAACGGGCGAGAGGCTACGACTATATGGGGTGCGGTGCGGACAGGGTCCATTATAGAGTGGCACAACTCGGGCGGGGTCCGTCTAGACGGACGGACAATTGAACAGGAGCATTACCGTTTGCCAAGACATATAAAGCCTTGTCATGTTATCACAGCTTATTACATACACTAAAATATTTTAGGCTTGCTTTTCTTTTCTTTTTTTGCGCATACTTTTAGGTGCGCTTTTTTTCCGCACTTAAATCTATCGAGACATGTAGAAAGATATGTATATGGGACGACGTGGAATCGGCATTGGCACGACTTCTACCGACATTTCTTCCTTCTCGCTCCAAGAAAGAAACTCTAGCCTCTTTTGGCGTGCTCTAGCCAAGCCTCGAGGCGGCTGCCCCTAGCCACCACTTGCCGGCCGCAGCCACTGCTTGGCTGTGGCTAGCTGGGACGTGCCTAAGGGTGGTCGGGCATGGCTAGGTGCGGTCGTGGCGAGGCTGCGGGATGACGGTCGTGATCTACGCACGAGAAGACAAAGCTGGCGTAAAACAAATCTTCATGTAGGACCGATTTTTAAGAGTAAGATTTTGAAAATGGTTGGAGAAACCTAATAATTGTGCTCTCAAATTTTTTGGTGACTAGAAAAACTTATTGATTTTGGAAACATTTTTTTAGGAAAAATGCTCTAACCAACCGATATGACACTGGATTCGAACACCAATATACTTTTGAAACCAAATAAAATTTATAATGTTGTCGTCAATGTGGGGAAATGGCCCCGCTCGGCTTACCTTATATCCGGCTTGATCGGCTTCTTTTTTCAGCCGGAACCGTGTTTTTCTCTTCCAATATTTCAGCCAAAACAGTGTTTTTCAGCCACTTTGAGCCAAGTTTCAGCAAGCCGAACAGGGCCAATTATTTGTGTCAAAGATTGAGCAACTGTTCCATTAATCTACGGCGTGGCAAGTCTTCAAAACCTAATGCAGAGACATGTCGTTACGAAATGATTGGGTAGCTAGATTAACCTGGGATTATTCATATCTGCGAAATGATTACAACAACAACCAAAACATTTTCTTTAGTTAAAAAATAAAAAAGAATTCTGAAAGTCCTTTAGTTGTGTGGTCGCCTTCGTGCCGCCTCCTTTCCTTCTCTTCCGCCCCACCAGACCAGACCACCACCACCAGTCCACCACCCTCCGGCTGCTACTTTTGCCGTCTCCACCGCCCTTCTGGCCTTCTCCAGAGCCCCAACCGACTACGCGTTCCCTCCCAAACGCACCCCCTCCTCCCCTCCAGTGACAGCCTTCTAAGCCTGCGCCTCCTCGGGCTCCCCCTCCAGCCCGTGCCACTGCACTTGCTGTGCCGACCCGAGCTGCGGTCGAGTGAGTTAGTAATGGAGCCGCGGCGGCGGCGGCCACCGAGGCTGCCGCTCCATGCGTTCTTCTTGGTTGCCGCTACTTGGCCGCTCGGGAGCTCAGGTTTGTTTCTTCTCCCTTGAGCTTTGGATTTCGTCGGTGTAATTGGGTGTGCATTTGGGCTTATGGTGTTCTGCTACCTCCCTGCTTTGCAGCAGGGGTTGCAAGCTTTGGAGTTGGTGCGGAGAGCAATGGAGCTTCGTCTAGTTTTAGGTTAGTGTGCTCAGATTCTTAGAATCTCATTTTGTTACTTGTTAATTGTTGTACTCTCAAAAGTATGTTATTACTTGCCAGAAATGGGTACAGTTCCTTTTTTTTTTATACTCAGTGAATGTTATTCTTGGGACTGGAATTGGAGGCTTGGATGCTTTTGGTTTTGGCCTCTTTTCACACATGGGTTGGCAAATAGCAAAAAGTTGTGATTTTGGTTTCTTGACCTTGTAAAGAGTTGCCTCTCAGGCTCTGGGTTGAACTGGTATCAGAATCAGCCACCGGGTATTTGAATCTTTTTAACTGTTGTCATGCTTCTCTTTGTACTGGATCCAGCAGTAAAGCTTTGGAGTAAAAGCCATATAGTGAAGGATGGCTAGGTCCAAAAAAAAAAAACGTTTCAACTTCAATTCTGAAACTTAATTGTCCGTTCAGAAAATAAAAAAATATATTTGAGCGTGAATAAAAAAAATCAAGAGAATTATTTTTCATACTGCCATCTATAGAAAATGTGTCTTCTTGGCTTGCTAATATGACTAATCCTTCTGTAGGAATTCCAGGAGACTACTGCAGATTGGAGACAGAAACGAAGATGGCCTATTTCATCTCCCACATGCACGGACTCTAACGCACAAGAGCAGATCTCATAGAAGAGCTCCAATACCAGCACCAGCACCAGCGTCTGCTCCAGCACCCTCACCATCCATGTCACCACCAGAAGGTTCACCATCTCCATCACCACATAGTTCACGATCAATGCCACGCCAATCAACTTCAAATCGTCATCCATCCCTAGCCCCTCCACATTTGGTTAGGCCTGGGCCTAGGCAAGATGAAAATGATCCTATAGTTGATACTCCACCTCATTCTCGCCATAAACATTCCTGGACAACCTATGGTTTAGTTGCAGCAGGGATTGCCGTTTTCCTTTTGGTATCAGCAGCTAGTATTCTCTGCTTCCGAGCTAAGAAAATGGGAACTGTGAGGCCATGGGCGACAGGTCTAAGTGGACAATTGCAGAAAGCTTTTGTAACTGGTATGGTTTTTTCCTAGCTATGTATATACCATATATGTGGTACTGTTCCAGTTTTATATCACAATGCTGTAATCATATTTCTAGGTGTACCTTCGCTGAAACGATCAGAGTTGGAAACGGCATGCGAGGATTTCAGCAATATAATTGGCTCTACCTCTACCTGCATGCTGTACAAGGGAATTTTATCTAGTGGAGTTGAAATTGCAGTGGCCTCAAGCTTGGTAACATCTGCAAAGGATTGGTCGAAAGAAAATGAATCACAGTACAGGAAAAAGGTATTGTACAGTTATCTTCAGTCTACTTAGATACAACTTGCTTAATTTTAATCGATGAAAATAATAATGGTTTCAGATCACAAGCTTGTCCAAAGTAAGTCACAAGAATTTTATGAACTTGCTTGGCTACTGTGAGGAAGAGCATCCCTTTACCAGGGTGATGGTATTTGAATATGCTCCAAATGGGACACTTTTTGAGCATCTCCATGGTAGGCGCATTGCTGTCATGAGTTTCTCAGTTTCATCTGTCACAAAACTGTTCTCTTCACTGTGTACAATTTTTGTCACTATGACTTCTGTATTGTTGATCAAAGTTTGACAATGCATTCCTGATTTCACTGCAGTCCGGGAAGCAGAGAAGCTTGACTGGATGGCACGGCTCAGGATATCCATGGGCATTGCTTATTGTCTTGAGCACATGCATCAGCTGAAAACACCAGTTGTGCTGAGGAACTTTGACTCAACTACACTATACCTTACTGATGACTTCGCTGCAAAAGTCTCAGATCTTGAATTTTGGAATGATGCAGAGGGACATAATTCTACCAACAATGAACTGGCTTTCTCCCCAGACCCTGAGAACATTGTGCGCAAGTACGGCATGGTGTTGCTGGAGATATTGACCGGAAGAGTTCCTTGTTCTGAGGATGATGGACCACTGGAAAACTGGGCGTCTCCCTATTTTGAAGGTGAGATGCGTCTTGAGGAGCTGATTGACTCTAGCATCGGTTTCTTCCCCGAAGACACTGCACGTGCCCTTTGTGAGGTTGTAAGATCCTGCATTGATCGGGATCCAAAGAAGAGACCACAGATGAAAGAGGTTGCAGCTCGGATGAGAGAGATCACCGCGTTGGGGCCTGATGGGGTGACTCCGAAGGTGTCACCGCTCTGGTGGGCTGAGCTTGAGATCATGTCTTCTGAGAGCTGAGTTTGGACGCATGCCAGATGATATTGTTTCTCCTAGTGTGACTGAGAATTCTTTGAGCTATTGGTTGCTGCTAATCTTGTGACTGAGAATTCTTTGAGCTATTGGTTGCTGCTAATCTTGTTTGTGGAATTGGTGATTAGGTAGAAGAAGTTGAGAATTTGTTGTGTGCAAAATTGCATATAGGGAGTTGTATTGTACTTGTACATGTCAGGAAGGTTAACATTACAACATACTGATATGCAGGCATTCTAGCCAAGTGAGCAACAGAAAGCATGTGTGGCTTGTTTTTGCTGCAATAGCTCTTTTGTCAAGCAATTGCTACTGGTATTGCCTTATTCTACTGAGGTTGAAATAGCAAATCCTTATGGTTCAATCTTCCCAAAATTACGGCAAATGTTAGCCCAAAAATGAAAATAAACAGCAGTGTTTACTGAGGTTGAAATGGCAAATCCTTATGGTCCAATCTTCCAAAAATTATGGTTAGCCCCAAAAATGAAAATAAATACAATGTTTTTCACTTTGGTTTTGTGGGGCCCTCTCATCAAAGAAGAGATCCCTCCAATCTTCCTCCAACTCCAATCTGCTTTGTGTGGCGAGCACATGGTATTCTTTAGTAAAAGGCGAAAGAATAGTTCGCTTTGTGCTCACCACGCAGCTGCATGCCTTGCAAAGGCTGGCTCGGGTGCTATTTCAAAGAGCCTCCGGTGGAGATGGCTGCTGGCTCAGCAGTACGGGACTAAACTGATGGTAGCACATCTCGTTTCCTGTGGGCCAGATTATAGATAACTGTTGGTATCGTGGGCCTGATTAGAAAGTATCTGTTGGTCTCATTGGGCCTACTAACAAACAACTACTACTAGGTAAATCAGGTCCGGTTGATGCTTTGGCCATCGATAGAAGAGAATCAGAGAAGGCATGTGTGCACATTTCGAACCAAAGAACAAAGCGTAGTTGTGAACACGAACAAACGTGTAGAGCTGACTATAGAGAAAAAAATGCAACCAAGAAATGCAATGCAGCAAATGCCATGGCCTCGTTAGCTGGAGGCACGACGGAACCACAACTCATAATACAGAGTACACCCACTACAGTTTGCAGAAATAAAGCAGAGAGAATCTTCGCTTTCGCTGCATTACTTTAAAAACTCGAATTTGTAACCAGTCGTGCCTCCGAGTGCACGTCACACGGCATACATACAAAAGAAGAAAAAGAGGAAGATTCGTCGATACCGCGGTGGTTTGAACACCTTGCTGACCTGGTTCTTTCTTCAGCCTTTTTCTTCCTCTCTTTCTTCTGGAGGTGCTGGCCGTCTGCAGCCTTTGATGCATGCTCTTTGTCACCTGCGCAGTCTACCTTAAACAACACGTGCTCAATCTCCTGCGGTGCTCGCTCTCGGCGGCGCCTCCCAAGTCCAACTAACAGTAACAGAACTAAGGCTTTTGTATATACTCCTTAGAGATATGTGCATGTTCTGGTGCTCCTGCCTCACTGATCTGCAGTGCTCCGTCTGCTTCCACCCCATGAGAGTAGAGAAGAGATCGTCTCATCATTCTGCCTCGCAAAAATTGCAGCTGAATCAACGACGAGGAGGGCGGCGGCCGGCCGGCTAGCTCTGGGGTTCGTCGGCCTTGGTGGAGGCTTTGCTGTACAGCTCCAGGGTGTCGCCGTGTGGGTTGGGTCCAGGCACAGCGCGGCCTCGCAGTCCCGCAGGGCGCTCTCGCTGTCGCCCATGGAGTCGAAGAAGGCCGCGCGGAGGTGGAGCAGCTGGAGGTCCGGCTTGAAAGCTACGGCTCCTGACAGCTCCGCGATCGCCTCCTCTTCCTTGCCCTCGTCCATCAAAACTGGGGGATGAAACAGAAATGCAAACATTACTGTGCTTGTCAAATCGAAAATTCGTAATGCACACAATTGGAGGGAGCACAACAACTGCAATAACAAATCTTATACTCCCTCCATTTCAAAATGCAAAAATGCAGTGTTTATAATCTGAAAATAAAAGGCATTAACCGTTAATTAGTCAAAATATATGTACGCTTAATTTAAAACATGCATCATTAGATTCATACTAACTTCACATATTTCAGTAAGATGTTGCTTTTGTAACAATTGATGCTATATTGATCATAGAAATTAATGGTCAAGGTATACCTTGAAAGATCTTCTCAAATCTTTATACGTCTTATTAAAAAAAAAAAAGAAATGGATAGACTGTTGGAGAAGGTGTAGCTTGCATTACTTAAGACATGTTTCTAGGAATTGGAAGTTCGAAACAATGCAAGATTCCCATGTCATGTTGATATGTTAGGTAGTAGACTCACCAGCTGCTCTGTATCTGTAAGGATAAGTCCTTGTAGGATCAAGAAGCGTCGCTGTGTTCAGGTCGCTCCTCGCAGCGTCGCGCTCGCCATATTCTGACCGTTTTTCATACGCCGACGCGCTGTTGGTAGCTATCTGCACGAGCTTTGTCATCTCCTCATAAGCAACCTTTTTCCTATTTTTCAAGTAATGGACTCGAGCTAGACCCTGATGCGCCCGTGTGTGCTTTATGTTCAGTGCTATGCCGTAGCACTCGGCAGCCTCATCCAGCATGTCACAGTCCACGTAGATGCTCCCCATGTTGTTGTATGCCTAAAAGATGTCGTTAGTTGTGAGCACAAACAATTAGCAGAAGTCGAGAGTCTTGGGCGATTCTTACTTGCCCTTCCGAAGGTTGTCAGAAGCACAACTGTTAGCATGTTCCAGAAGCTGTACAACGGAGAGCGAAGATTCTGTGTCAAGGCTAGAATCTCCTAAAGCATACGCCTTGAGGAAGAAGGCTTCGAATGATCTTTGAAGTCCAATCGACTGCTCAGCCTTGGCTAATGCTTCGTCCCGATGTCCACTGTCATACAGAATCCAACCTTCATATACAAGCCTCTCATGCTCATGGAGTGAACTGTTCCGAGCATATCGCAAACTACGCATGGCAGCTTTCTGACAATTTAGCCTACAATATACAAGGAGACAACAAAAATGTTAAATCTCTTAATAATCCAAAAATTTACTCATTCAATTCCAAATTATAAGTCATTATAACTTTTTTGGAGAGTCAAAGCATCTCAAGTTTAACCAAAATTATAGAGAATTATAAAGATTTATGACATCAATTAGGTATAATATGAAAATATAATTAATGAAAAATCTAATGATACTTATTTGGTATTATAAATGTTATTATTTTATTATATAATTTGGTCAAACTTGAGATATTTTGACTCTCTCAGAAAGTTGGAATGACTTATAACATATCAACAAATAAACCTTCTCCTTGTTCTCTTCTTTTTCTCCCAGCTTTACATGGGATTCATAATTGTGGCATTTACTAGAGGTTTGCTGCCCAAAGTTTTTGCAATTTTTTCATCCAATATGCAGAACAACTATAGTTAGTTTAAAGGCCCTGGTTAGTTTAGGCCATCCACTCAACTGTAGTTAAGTTGCTAAATTAGCCGGAGTGGATCCAAATGAACCCGGCTAATAGGTCAACTAATTGTGAGCTGGACATTGAGTTAACAACTATTTCACTAGCTATTCCAACCTTACTTCTTCCATCATCAAAGAGTGTCGTTTTGTTAATGTCCAGATTCATAACAAAAACGACTCTCTTTTGGACGGAGAGAGTGACTGATAGGAGCTAAAAGATTGTATTTTGCTCTCCCACTACCTTATATTCCACGTGTATTCCTGATAGGTAATAAAAAAAAGAAAGGGCATTATAGACAAAGCAATAATGCATTTACCATTTAGCTGTGGGATCCAAACAATGCCTAGCTAATATTAGCTACTGATGGATCAAACATGTCCTTAGTTTAAAATAGCACTGATATTAGCCATGTATGAAATTATCCCCTGGACAAGGTTAATCGAGGATCAGGGCCGTACCTATGATTTGGAGGACCCTGAACAAAACGTGCGATGTGGCCCTAAAGTTCAAGAAGTAAACTAAGATTCTTTCACAACATATAAGAGCACCCCTTTGAGTTTGAACCACAACTTCTAATCTTTACTTCTTCTTATGCTTTTCATGGCTAGAATCGTACCTCTTATTTCTAGAAGACATGATGAAGATCAATGAAATAAACAAATTTCCTCTCCAATCCCTCGACTATAATGCGAATTTTTAGATTATCTAATTGGTTAATCTCCTATCCAAGATACAACAATAGACAATTGGAATGAAAGTGGTATGGCGGTGGCACGGCGGATGACCATAGGCCTTACTTTGGGCCAATACTAAACTAGTGATTGCAGGCCTAGTGGCATCTTTTTTTTCTATTCAAGGATTAATTATTGCTAATTACTACTTAGTGTAAATATGGAGGCCCTGCAATTTTGGAGGCCCTGAACAGTTGCCCCACTTGTTCCTGTTAATGTACGGGGCTGCGAGGATGAAAAGTGGTGCAAGGAGATCTGTCCAATCAAATCCAGCCTCTGTGAAGCAAGCTAATGAACAATGTAAAATAGGCTAAATATTGGCCTCCATCCAGTTTTTGATTTACCAAACATGTCATATGAACCAGAAGTTTGAAAAAGGATTTGTTCTCAGATCTCAGCACATGAACGGAGAGAGAGCAGTAGATTCAGATGTACCTTAGCAGGAGAAGTGACTGTCGAAACCGCAAGCTGCTGTTTCCGGGTTCCCTGGCGAGCATCTGCTGGACAACCGCCAGAGAGCCGATGTCATCCACCGCCGACCACCGGTCGTACAGCTCCATCCAGCAATCTGCCATATCCCACTGCCGCACCTGTCCTCGGAGGAGCTCAATCAGCTGTTCCCCGTGCATTCTCCCATGGAACATCATGTAAGTTGGATCCAACGTCAATATCGCCCTGACATCCTGCACAGCCAACTCGCATTGCTCAAGCGCAAGGTAGAACCACGCCCGGAGCTCCAGGCAATCGGTCGCCATCTTGAAACCGACGACCTTGCTGATCTCTGCGATCGCGGACTCAGAATTGTCCTCCTCTAACAACGCGCAGGCACGATATTTGTACGGGAATGTCATCGTCGGGTCCAGCTCCGTCGTCGCCTGCAGATCAGCCAGTTTCTCCTTGCCGACACAGTACAGGAGCGCTCTTGGTACATCCACCCGGCGGGTTCTTCGTAGTCGCCGACGACACTATTCATTAGCTTGTACGCAGCGTACTTGTGCCCGCGCTTGTACTTGGCACGTGCCTCTCCAGCCAGCGAGTAGACATGGCCCTCGGCAACGGCGGCCTCAAACCACTCCTGCGCCTCCTCAAACTCGCCGCGCTGCAGCATCACGCACCCGAGCTGGTGCAGCGCCAGCTGCTTCTGCCATGGCTGCTCCGCGAATTCATTCAGCCTCTCCAACAGCATCACCGTGGTGTTCGATCTCATGTCCTGCTCCATGGCGACGTAAGAGAGGAAGTAGTAGAGCGCGAAGGACGCGTTACCGGAAATGTCAAGGCGCTCTCGCCCCTCTGGGCTGCACAGCAGGCGCGCGATGTCCGGGTAGGTGAGCGACTTGGGGCTCCCGCAGGAACGCCTGGAGGCAGGAGGCGACGAGGAGGTGGGAGGCCTCCTCGAGGCCGATGTCGATGAGGGATCGGGCGTTGTCGAGGCCCCGCACCATGGCTGCGAGCTGGTTGTCGCAGGCTGCCTTCAGGCCCTCGCAGCAGAACTTGTTGGCGAATGCGAGGAGCTGGGAGATGATGTCGGGCGGGAAGTCGTCCACGCGGCCGTGGCGGCTGTAGGCGGAGACCGCGCGCATGCCGCGCGGCGTGATGCCGTCGCGGGAGAAGTCGATCCGGTCGCGGTGCGCCTCGGCGAACCCGCCGTAGAGGAGCGTGTTGAGCGGCTTTGAGAGCGCCGCAATGCACGAGCGCTCGCACGCCACCTCCTCCTCGCCGATGATGAACCACAGGTCATTGGTCTCCGGCTCCTCCTCCTCGCTCATCTCGGAGGCGGCGCCCGACGTGTTGCGCCTGAGGCGGTGCGGTGGAGGGGTGATGGGAGGAGGCGGCGGGCGGCGGCACGGGCAGAGTGGGTCCACGCTGTGGGACACGCTGGCGAAGACCGCGGCGCGGGGCACTCGAGCAGCGGTGTCGTCGCGGTGCAGGGCGCGAGCGGAGGGCGGCGTCGGGTCGAGCTCGTCCTCGCGGCGCTCGTACCGGAGCCACGCTGCGAGAGCACGGCGCGCCGGTGTGGGTTGTCCGCGTGGACGCGCGCAGCCCGCAGCGCCCGCCGGATCAGCCGCGCGTCGCCGATCGACTGGAACAGCGCGTGCTGCTCCAGGTACGCGTCGCAGAGGTCGTCGTCGGCCCCCGCCGTGGCGGCCGACACCCTCCGGTACGACGCGGCGAGCGCACCGACGTGGTCGACGGGTCGCAGGCACGCGTCCAGGGCCGGCTCCAGCGCGTCGGCCACCGGGAGGCCGCACGGCAGGTGCGGCTCTGGCACGAAGGCCCCGACGTGGACGGCGCCGCGTGCGGGTAGTAGAGCGATCCGGACCGCATCGATATGGTCTTTGGAGGAGGCGGGGTATGGGGCTTGCCGATGCTGCTCCCGCCGGCATCCGCCGAGCCGGACGTGGAGGCTCCGACGGAGCTTAAGGCGTATAATTGAGCGGCCTTGCAACCCTCGATCAGCTTCAGGCTCTTTATCGTCGTGAGGAAGTTATTGGTCATGGTGAATCCCGCAGCCGGCTTGCCCGTTCCTCCTCCTTCCCTCGGCTATGGCGCGCGCGTTTGGCCAGCAGCCTGTCGCACGGCGACGATCGTGCCAGAGCAGGAGTTCCCGGCGGAACGGCTGGTGCGCGCGCGCGTCGCCCCCTGCCCTCCCTGCGCGGGCCGCGCGTCCCCGCCGTGCGCCCAGGCGTGACCTGTGTAATGCCGTTGGTTGCGGGGGGCGGCGGGAGTGGGCCGGGGGCGCGGGGAGACGAGACGCTTCGTTGAGGACGGAGGGGAGGACACCGAGGAAGGCGGGGCCGTAGCTGCTGCCGCCCTCTTCTGCAGGAGTTCTTTTGGAATTTTTAGCTAGTTTTTTCATCCCTGCTCTGCTGTAATCGTGGGTTTTCGCTTGAAAGGACCTCTCCTGGGGAGGAAAGAGGGAACAGCAGGAAGCCAGGAACATGTTCAAATTTCACATCAACATCGATATGATGTACAGTGAAAGTACTGTTCTTTTTCTTCACTGACAAACCACGACTAAGGCCTTGTTTGGTTCTAAGCTCCTAAAACCATGACTGAGGCCCTGTTTGGTTCCAAGCTCCTAAAACTTTTAGGAGAGCTTTTAGAGACTCACAAAACCTCATAAAAGAATGTTTGGTTTCACCTCAAAAAACCTGACTAAAAGCAATAAATACACTAGCAAAAAAGACCATACAGCCCTCCTCCATACCCTTGCTCCTTCTGCTTCCTCCTGTCGTGGCCTTGCTCTCCTCCTCCTCGCCGCCTCTCATGGAGGTGGCCATCTCGACGGACGGGAGCGTGAGCAGCTCCACCACGCTGCCTGCCTCGCCTTGTCGCTTGGCCTTCCCCCGCCTGCCGGGGGAACACAGGGCAGGGGCAGGCAATCCGGCAAGGCGAGGGTCGAGGACGGGAACAATGGGAGGAGGTCGAGGGTGGCGGCCGACTGCCCCCATGGCGGCGGGGAAGACCGGAGGGTACATGGAGGCGGCAGGCTGGGCCTATCTCTGTGTCCAGGCCACAAGGAGCGGCGGACGGTTTGGGGCAGGATGGATCCGCTACGAGGTGAGGCCGAGGCGTGGCGGGCGAGGCGCGGAGACGGATCCAGTAGGCGCCACGCTGGAGAGAGAGATCCCGCGGAGGGGAGCGGCGAGATCCGTGGGGATCCATCGGTGGAGGGTAGGGGCCGCAAGAGGGAGGCGCGGGTGGGAGAGAGAGAGAGGGGGAAGGGCAATAAAGGAGGGGTAGTGGGGTCCATGATGTACTTTAGGAGCTTTTATGAGGAGGTGGAGCTCCTAAAATTTTTGGCCCCTCCTAAAGTTTTTATGAGCTTTTAGGAGAATGTGTTTGGTTCTTTAGGCAAATTCTATCTAAATTTAAGCACCTAAAACTTTTAGGAGGGATAACCAAACATGGCCTGAAAGTACTGTTCGTTGTTTGCTTTGCTGAAAACCCATGACTGAAAGTACTCTTCACTTATTTGTTGTGAGAGAAAAATACTATTCATTCGTTGAAATAGTATGCCTAGTAAGACAAGTGAGAGTTATAAGGTCTGTTTGGTTACTGGTATCATCTAGCCTGGCTCGCATGAGCTTAGCCAGATTCAGTTGAGCCTGACTGAACACATACAAAGTCGTTTTGTTTGGTTACCACCTCGCATCCAGCGAGCCAGGTCCACGAGAAACAAAAATGAAACTCGTTTCTCGGGAGCAGGCTGAGGGCGTTCTTTTGCATCTCGCAAGACATACTCAGATGTTTGTCTAGACAACCATACAACTAAAAACTGCTTTCGATTAGCTTGACTCGGCCTTATACAATCAATCAAACAGGCCTATAGACGCTGAATACGTCGATTAATTGTAGTATTTATTTACTAAAAATATATACTCTTATCTTATCTTCAAAAATAGACCCAATTTATAAACATCACATATTTTCTCCTCTTATCCCCGTTCACCCCATCTCTAAATTGATGCATTCACTCAGCCACTACGCGTTGATACAAGCCAAGAATTTTTATCTCTTAGCAGTGTATGTTACGATGAACGTCAGCAAACCTAGAAGCAAATGGTCTTAAAAGAAAAATGAGAAGATAAATAAAAAGTAAGATTTTCAACACTCAACTACGAAGATCGAGTATAGGATGTCCTCCACCTATCAAAAACAGTATGATTTTGGTCATGTAGCTGGTTATGAAGGTGGTTTTATGCTTTTTTTTAAATAATAAAGAATAGGGTTTAATTTCTAAAATTTCTTAACTTATTCATTTTAGATCGGAAAAATACAAAACTAATACCATTTTTTTTTCTAAAATGGTCGTGTATCTGTTGGTGATGTATTTGGAGTCATGTGGACCTTACTTGTTCATGTTCTTAGTGTTTCATGCCTGTAGTCATGTGAGAAAAAACAGCAATAGAAATAAATAAGTTTGGAAATTGCTCTAAATAGATCACCAACACACCATAGCATTTTCAGAACAAAAACAAGTACTAGTTTCATAATTTCTTAATTTAAAATAAATTAGACATGAATTTTTAGAGATTGAACTAAATTAATATATTATTTAAAAAACAGAAAGCCTGCTAGAGGACCAAATTTACCCGGTTCCTATAGTTGGAAGAGGTATGATACGTGGTTTCATAGTTCAGAGTTGAAAATTGAACTTACGTGCAAGATTAAAGTTGAAAAATGAACTTTACCTTTTAATGAATCATGCTTCTAGAATTGACCAATAAATCGTGCTTCTAGAATTGACCAACCTGTGAACATGTTCCATATATGTTGTTAATGTAGGTTGAAAGGACAATTGTGGGTTGCATTCTTTGATATATTAGCACGTGAGCTACTAATTATAATCTCATTTTTGAATCAAATGATTACTCAACTTATCTTGCAACTATCAAGGCTTTCTTAATATTTCAAGAGAAAAAACGCGCAGAGAACATTTCATTAAAACTTTAATGCCCAAGATACCAGAACTTGCTTGGTTCTCATCATATTATTGGCTTCTTTTTCCTGTGGGTGTGTTCGTTGCCTCCGAACGCTTCCCACATGCATTTACTGTATTTTCAAGCTCTATCTTTTAATATATAAACTTCAAAAGGACGATGGAATGTTGTTGTAAGTTGGGAATGGCACTGTTTTGGCTTCCTGACAATAATGCGCAGGATCATGATATGGAAAAGAGGGGGCGGGGGCCCACCAGTGCGGGCAAAGGTTGGACGTACTCCTCTAAATCTCTAAATAAATTAATTCGTAGAATCCGTGTCTTGACTGATTTTATAAAAAGTAACAACTAAAATGATCATCTTATGAAATATATTCTATAGTAAATTTAATGATACTAATAATTTGATAACATAAATCTTAACGTTTTTTCTATAAATTCGGTCAAAGTTCTAAAGAAATTGGCTTAAGACAACTTTAAAAATATATTTATACAGTGATAAAGAGTACATGAGTAGCAGCAATCATACTGGTGATTAGCGTGGATCCCGTCACCCTGGTGGGGGCATTACATACTGTTTACGCTTAATCTCGCCACCCATCATGGGCTGTGCTGTGCAAGATGGGGAGACGGACGACCCCATGTGCTTGGATTAAGGATGGCAGCGGATCGGGTTTGGGCCGGATATCCGCTGGTTTGAGGTTCTCTGAGTTCGGGTTTGGGGATGGTTTTTCACCCACGGTTTTGGGTTCAGGGCCAAAAACCAATCGGGTTCGGTTTCGATTTGGTTTTCACCCGTGGATATCAATGGATATCCAAATAAATCATTTGGAATTAAAACTCATGTTTTATAATATACTAATAATAATTTGTTTACTTAGAT